TCATAAATTTTATAGTCCTTGAATCACGTTTCCACAGTTGCACACAGTTGTCCTTTTCAGAGTGCTGCTTTAGCTCTTCATATAAGTCGAACTTAGCGTTTAGTTCGATCTTTTTTACAACGGAGTGTCGTCTTTTCGAACGTCAATGTTTAACAGAAATTAACGTATTTACTGCTACATGTACATGTAATTTCATGAGTGAAATTCGTCTCCTTTTTTTGCCATACATCAATATTTTCAATAAAAAAATTATTTCATATAGTCTGAAAAAATATCTGGAATAAGACCGATAAAATAGCAAAACTCTATATAAATCGCTATTTTGCCGGAGCCGGCAAAATAGCGCTAAGGAGGTTATTTTGCCCGAGCAAGTGAAATAGAAGCTAAGAGGCTATTTTGCAAGAGCCGGTAAAATAGCCACTGCCATTTTTTTCCATCATTTTGGAATTACTTATTAAATATTTTTACATTATAAAGACATAGAAGGAATATTCTTTGCTGTACATGCACAACCAAAGAGTAAATATTGTAGTAGACAAAATAAAAGACAACTCATTCATTGTTGAAAAATTATAATAAAAACAGGTACCTTTAATCGGTAATCAAATGCATAATAATTATAATAAGAATTTTTTACTAAGAAAACATTTGGCAAAACAATTTAAAAAATAAATATTTGAGCACTTTTTAAGTTTATTCTCGCCTCACTTCGCTTGTTAATTTATGTTTAAAATTAAAATGTACTTTTAAGTAATTACGTTTTAAATAAACTACGTATAACTTGTAAATTATTAAGTCAAGGATTTTGTTACCACAAACCACCTTTACATAATTATTTCATTCGTAGATACAAAGATGTGGTCTGGAAGTTTGTCTGTGTCTGTATAGAAACCGGATTACAAACAAGATATCACATCCTAATTCTTACGGTTTGTTTATTTAGCCCGTAATTTAGATACAATCTATATAAACCTATTCCTCCTTTAAATGAAAAAAAAAACTCATAAAAAAATACCAGGCTTATCATTGTGTACGCCAGACGAAAGTTTCGTCTACAAAAGACTCATCAGTGACACTCGAATCAAGAATGTTTCAAAGGTCTATCAATTTATCACTATAATATGATCTTTGAAAATTGTCTTTATCGGTACTATCATTGATTTTGTTATTTAGAATTAAAACATAACTAAATATGTGTTGCTATAGTTATGAACACTTAAAGTCCTATACATCCTGTCGTAGTCCAAATAATTATGACGTCTTGAAAGGCTATTATATTTGTTTTCTTTGACGCCTTACATCGATGTAAGGCGTCAAAGAAAACAAATATAATAGCCTTTCAATGTAAGGCGTCAAAGAAAACAAATATAATAGCCTTTCAAGACGTCATAATTATTTGGACTACATCCTGTCGATACTAATAAATTGAATTTGGCATTGCAAAAGGCCATGATTTCTCAGACTGCTTATCATGAATTGGATGCGTACTTACTAGTACTTTAGTCTTGAGAATCATTATTTATTTATTTAATTTAGTTGTAATTGACTTTGAACTAGCTTTCAATGACTGCGAGTACTCTTGAGTCAGTACTTATAGTGCCTTCTGTCTTTTTGATATATTTTTTTTTCTTGCACTTCGTGTCGATCTGATAAATCAAGACCTTTCCACTTGATTAAAACAGTTTGTTCTTATGTTGTGCCGTCACATTTACACCATTGTTCCTTGTTAGGGGAGGTTCAAGCGCTCGCAAACATATTTCACTCCATCACATTCTGTCATGATGTACATGTCTAAAGTCAGGAGCCTCTAATTCAGTGGATGCGTTGGTTGTTATCTGTCATATTTGTTTTTCGTTTTTTGTATTATTGAATGCAGGCCGTTAGTTTACTCGTTTCAATTGCTTTACATTTTGTGATGCCAGGACCTGTTATAGCTTATAGTTGCTTACATCTACATCATTTGGTCTCATTTTGGATAGTTGTCTAATTGAGAATCATATATCCACATCTGCTTCTTTTATATTGATAGGAGCAAATGAAATATTACAATCAGATTGCAACGTAATATTGACTACATTCATAACATTTATTTTGATTTACGTTGCAATCTGATTGAAATACAGTTGTAAGCAAAGAGTGGACACAGTATCTGTATTTTAATCAGATTTTATTTCGTTGGTAAATTTGCTTTTTTTATTTCAAATTCAAATTCTTTATTACCTTGAACTTTACAGATCATCAGTGTCAATTTAAAATTTCGATCTAAACAAGTAAACAGACAAAGAATGTTCATGTTATGAATAACGTTTTTCTCTAAATTCTAAAAATGTATTCACCTAAATTTGTTTCAATAATATATACAATGAAACATCCAACTTGTATCGTTATAAATAGTGTGACATGTGTTTAATGGCGATTCGGACTGTGCCATCCGTGTATTTCAAAGTATATATCAATTATGTTGTAATACAATTTTATTTGATATTAGATAACGACTTTATTTCTAATCAAATATCTAATTTTTCGTAGTTTGAAAAATTTTATGTCGTGCTTTGAATTCAAAATTGGGTTCACAGACATCCATGTATATTATCTTTTCAAAAGGTACTCTAAGTGATTAGGGATATACAAACGAAACAGTTTAAGTCTATACTTTGAAATGTTTAAATTCAATAAACAAAATAATTTAAGATGTAATATATATGTATAATGCAACATCGGTTACTTAATAGATTGTTTTTAAAAGTGGAGACACCAATGGGGGAACCAAAACTCACGATTCAAAGAAAAAAGACCACCATGGCCGAAAAAAAATCCAGGAAAAGACAAAGAACATTTCTTCAAAACACCAAAAAAGATATGTAAAGAGTTAGTGACACAAACTCCATAAAAATTGGGATCGAACTCACGTGCTGTTGTCAAATTCGAGGTAAATGTCTAGAAATGATGCAGAGGAAGCTGTATCTGTGGTTTCTTTAGTCTCTAGTTCAAGAGGATATATTAATGGGACCCAGGCAGAAATGTTTGGATTGTTAATGGAAAGAACATTATATATCAATAATTATTGAATATGATTTTGTGACTGCATTTCAGTGACGGATTTAACAAGCGTTGATTCTAGTAAAAGAAACCACGACAAATAAATAGGCTGACGTCCCACCAGTGGTTAAGGCAGACAAACCAAGGTAATATACATTTACGGTACCAATTTAACTGCACCAAATGCGCATTTCGACAATAAATGTCTCTTCAGTTTTACTCGAGGCCAAATTATTTGAAAATCCAAAGCTTATTAAAAATTTGAAGAGCTCAAAAAAACCACCGAGATAACAGAAACTCAGTACAAATGTCACAATTGAGAATAGGACATAATCATCAGTAAAATAATAGAGTTGACGACTATTCTGGTACCTAATGATCTAAAGAATGTGAACACATGTCGCAAATGAGTTGAGACAAAGACAGGTCTATCTGTCAACCGATTCGTGATGGCAACCATACAACTCCTATATTGTCGATTTCAGTCTTTCCTCCTCGAAAATCTGTTGGGGCAAACGTATATACACTATATAGCTGCATTTTGGTTACTAAAATACCTTATTAAAATACCCTCTTAATCTTTTTTTTTTTGACTTCATTTTTACCTGTACCATTTATCAGATATGAGATGAATAAAGGCAACAGTAGTATACCGCTGTTCAATAGTCACAAATCGATTAAGCGAAAACAAATCCGGGTTACAAACTAAAACCGAGGGAAACACATCAACTATAAGAGGAAAACAACAGAAAAACAGAAACACTGAACTGCAACAAAAACATACGCCAACATACATAGAAACAGACTATTTGATAACAACTGCCATATTCCTGACTTGGTACAGGACATTTTAAGAAAAAATGGTGGGTTGAACCTGGTTTTATGGCTAGCCAAACCTCCCGCTTATATGGCAATGTTAAAAACACCGCTAAAATGACAACATTACGTGACAGGAATACAGTACAAATAAACGCAAGAACACCCAGAACATTACAGAGAAATACATAAATAAATAATATAATAGTACATAACAACATGTAAACCACAGAACAACAACGGACACCTCCCATGAATTTACGACAGTACACTAGTCACCTCAAACGAAGAATAAACTGCGCGTCACACGAATATATCAACGCCACAAAATGTGACGTAATTTTGTGACGTTTGTATTATCACAGGTAAATTTCTAAAAATAGAATAGATTTGTTTTATTGTAGACACGTACAAGAATATAAAATTGGGATTGAGTTTGTTATGGTATTATTTTATGTATTTTCTAACCATGACAAGAATATTAAAATGGAATTGTGTTTGAATGGTGTTATTATTTGTATTTTCTAACCATGTCGTTTTTTCTTATAAATCAAAACTGTGTATGAACAAAATATCCTGTGCTTCAAACTTAGAATCATATAAATGAAATAGCTGATTTATTGTCTTAACTTTTACATACATATAGAAAATAAAAATAAAATAACTGTAATATAAGGCAAGATGATATAAGAACAAACAGTATAACCACACTTGAAAACAAACAACATAAAACAAAAACACTGTAGACGAACCACGAGTAACTCGACTATACTGACAAATAAGACATATGTGAAATGTACCGAAAATACAGAATTTATACCATAAACGATAAGACATAACACAATATCACGCCAGACTTACAAAAGAAACATCATAACTAAATACATGAATGTTGGATGTATAAATACCGAGACACATCGTATAGCAATGCGAATTCACACTCGGCAAAACAGTCATAACATTCCATTTATTTTTAGATATAGCGTTAACCCGGGGCTATGGACTCATCTGGCAGTAGCTTTCCAAGTGTAAGTTTTTGGTTTTATGTGTTGTTTTTATTCGTAAATGTTAATTGGACACACGGCTTTATATTGTTTTCCAAACTAATAGTAACTTATATAACTAAATTTTGGTTACTAGAATACCTTTTCAAAATACCCTTTGGAATGTTCGATGAATTTGCTATTTCTAATCTTTTTGAACTCGGTTTCCGTTGTTGTATCCTTCACAATATATCTTGCTGAATGTGGACCTGAAAGAAATGGATGGGATTTAGTTGTCTTTTTAGGATATAAAACTGGTATATTTATTATGGACATACGATAATGTCATGGGCATATTGAATATTTTGGACGTAATAGTATATGTACATGCACCAGTCCGACCGAATTCATCGAATTTTTGAAACACGTTAGAAGTTGTTTTTATTGATTAACATAAATTTATCTCCACAAAAGTTTAAAGTTTATTAACATATTGATACTAAATAACGTTTCTATAATTTTATTCCCTTCTTTGCATTTAATTCTATTATCAATCTTCCTATAAAAATTACATCATATTGTTTGTTCGGCATGTTTAAACACCACCAATGCCGTCTTAGTGCACCAAGCTTCTTTAAACCGCACCAAGTACCCGAAGGAATAGCAATTTAAGCAACAAGGTCTTTCAGTACGGTTAAGTTTTAGATATGAATAATTCTTTTTATCTTTAGTGTAGATACATACAAAATTAATAGGGTTAAATAATATTTTTCATGGTGTGCGCCGACTTCTGCTATGTTACGTTTCCACTTATAACATTGTTGACATTGCGCACCCCAAAAAAATAATATACCGAAGTTTTTCTTAGGTTGAAAACGTCGACCGTAAGTGTTGTGTGCCCATACAAGAATTTAAGTTTATTAAACAATTCTAAAACAAATATTAGTTTTATTTAATGTCTACCCAGTGCACTTTAAAGCTAAGATATCTTTCAAAACCGATTTATGTATCTAACCGTCTTTAGTGAGAACATTTCTGTCATGTTATATGACGAGACAATTCATCTTCACATGCTGAAGTTCAGTAAATTACCTAGAAGCATGGTTGAACTCTGGTACAAAAGGTCACAACAGATTTATCTTGCTTAATTTTCAACCATTGGTATCCGAATATACATATATGATTAATCACAGGTATAACCTGGGTACATATCCAAACTCACCCAATGTTTTCTAATTAGATATCTGCACATACATTAATTATCTTTTTTATAACATAGTGTGCAATTTTTAATTCTCAAGTCTTTAAGTTTTTAATTCTCGTTTTTTTAAAATTTAAATATAGATGTATGATCGTTTTCGAAAAATGGCCTAAACATAGTTTGACGAGAACTGCTTGCAATACTTTTTTTTACGTGGAAAGAGCGTTATATGAATGGGGTGTCATGATATGTTAGTATTCAATAACAGCAGAACCGATAGAAAGACCGTTTGTTCAACTTAGATTTACTGCAAAACAACAAACTGTGGCAAAGGCATTCAGACAATCGAAAGTACCTTTCAAATCCAATTCCCTTCGACGGATAGAGTGTGTCGTACAATCCTTTTCAACTTGTGGTTATATACAGATATACATTCATGCTTGGTAATGATGTGTATATACTTCGTTATACATGTTTTAATTTGAAATACCAGCAATGGTGCATAAATGTTTCAAATATGTTAATATTTAACCACATGAAATGTTTGTAAATAAAATCATTACATTAGTCGTTATATATATATATATATTATGTATGCAATTTTATTTGATTATAATCAAGTTCAAATTCTACAAAAACTGTTTATCTAACATCAAAGAAAATTGTTGACCTGCATGTACGTTTTTGTTATATATTGTGTTGCGTTAGCTGACTTATTTCAAGGGAAAATGTCTAATACTAATACCTTCATTTCCTATTTCTTCTGTCTGATACTTCCATTCTCCGTTGTTTTCTTGTAACTAAAACAAATTGAAACTATTGACATACTACTAATGTGGTCTCCCTCTTGTCAACCGGGCAACAGTAACAAGTGGCGTTTAATATCTTTAAACTGGAAACAGGGTTAAAAAGACATATGATGCTATTTTCGTATTTCAGCAAAACAACGTTAAATTGATAGCAAAGAAACGATTGTGACACAGCAAAACTCAAAATGCCAGAAACCAATAGAAATATTATTAGGTCAAGTGAAATACAACACAGTCTAAAGTCTTGATGTCACGAAAAAATAACGCATCAAAGATACCAGGCTTATATTTTTGTACGCCATACGCGCGTTTCGTCTACAAAAGACTCATTAGTGACGCTCGAATCATAACAGTTGATAGGCAAAATAAAGTACGAGTTGAAGAGCATTGATGGCCAAAAGGCTTTGCCAAATACAGCTTAGGTAACATTCATGTATAAATCAAAATTCAGTGAATGACACCGTTATTTGGGAAATGGGTGTTAGTTGTTTCAGAATATATTCAATTTATTCACAAGTTTTATAGATGTTTCAGAAGGACAAATTGGAGGCAGGATGATAGTATTTGAGCTAATGCTAATGCTCATACTATATATATATCCCTCAGAAACGTGTCCATCCCCCCCCCCCCCCCCCAAAAAAAACATGTCCAATCCCCCAAAGTTGTTCATATGACGTCACTGAACTCTAAATTTGTATAGTTGATAAAGGCCCTAAAACGCGTCCTTTTTATGAAAGCCCAATCGTGTCCATTTTTCAAAAACGCACAAACGTGCTTAATCCCCAAACGTGTCCATTTGAGACCAAAACGTCTCCTGTCTATACGAACGCTCAATCGTGTCCATATTTTAAAAACGCCCAAACGTGTCCACCGTTATTAACTAGTGATTCGTAATCACATATGTTGTTTAATAACAAATCGATACTAAATTATTATAGGAACTTTTAATGTGTTTTGTTGTTGTGAAAATGGGACAGTAACTCTTTAAAAGCCCAGAAACCACTTCTGCCGGAAGCCGACCTTGCGATACCCTCATATATTACTAGTAATAAGATAGTTAGGCATCACATGAATATATTAGTACAAAAAAAAATTCACTTAGTAAACGATGTATGTACAAAATTAATTAATTGCAATGTCAATGTTCCCTCTAAATATGCATTAAATATTTGCCACTGAACATTAACCACTCAACAGTCAACTTATGTGTTGCAACTAAAACTCGCAGTTATGCTAAATATTAACAACCGGCGTTGTACAAACTAATGTTAATAAATAACCACTTAATCAATCGTTGAAACACTGGGAAAACTTGCAAGATAAAATGTTTTTGATTTCACAATTGTAAAGTACTTCCATTTAAAGTTAAAAAAAAATGATATTCATATTGATATAAAAAATAATAAAACCACTGCAAGTAAAATTTTTTTTTTTGGGGCCATTCTTTTTCTTATCTGTTGTCTGTTTATTTGAAAGCTGAAGTTAGTGATTTCATCTTTCACTGTGCATAGTGTACCACGTCTTGTACATTTGTCTATACGGATCACTCCACCTATCCTCCAGATGTCAGTAGATATCGGCTTTGATATTTTTTTTTCGAATCCAACCGAAACCCGACGTCTTCAATCGTGTCCCCCTCCGAGTGTATCACCAGTCCAGTAGTCAGCACTTCTGTGTTGACGTGAGTTATCATTGACATGGTAATAATTATAAATTAACTGTTTACAAAACTGTTAAGTTTTTCGAAACACTAAGGGGTTTCTACTCCAGGAATAGACAACCTTAGCTATATCTGGTAAAACCTTTCGGAATTTTGGGTCTTCAATGGTTTTCAACTTCGTACTTTATTTGGCCTTTTTAACTTTTTTATTCGAGCCTTACTGATGAGTTTGTTGTAAAAGAAACGCGCGTCTGGCGTATTAAATTGTAATCCTGGTATTTGTTAGTTTATTTACAACAACTGGGTCGATGTCACTGCTGGTGGAGGTTTCCTCCCCGAGTGTATCCCCACCCTAGTAGTCAGCAATTTTGTGTTGGCATGAATTATCATTGACATGGTCATAATTATAAAATAACTGTTCATCAATAGAAGAAATGGAGCTCTCTTTTATAAAACCTTATATATATGTTACACTTGCAAACGTGGGCATCTCCCCAAACGTGTCCAATCCTCTTAACGTGTCCTTTTTGCCCAAACATGTCCTTAGAATTACAAATCGCCCAAACGTGTCCAATTCCACATTCCCCAAACATGTCCAATTATCAACTTCGCTCAAACCTGTCCGGTTTTATACTCTCCTAAACGTGTCCGACAATTGTTATTCCCCAAAACGTGTCCACTTTAAAACACCACAACGTCTCAATACTTTTAGTGCGTATATGTCCTGACGTATACGGCAATTCATATCTTCTATTAAATTCTAACTGCATTTCCAGAAACATTCCTACACATTCTTGCCAAATTTCGTCGGTATTGGTTTACATGTAAACGTTATTTTCCTAAATAGCTTACAAAAAACTAAGTATTATTTACCCCAGGATTTGATTCCCTTAGTTGTATTTGGTAAAACTACATTCGGAATTTGGGTCCTCAATTTTTATACTGGTATCTTTGATTAGTTTATTTACAACCGCTTGGTCGATGCCACTGCTGGTGGAGGTTTCCTCCCCCCCCTCCATCCCCCCCCCACCCCAAGTATCACCAGCCAAGTAGTCAGCACTTCTGTGTTGACATGAATTATCATTGACATGGTTATAACAAAACTGTTAATGTTTCGAAATACTAAGGGTTCTCTACTCCAGGAATAGACAACCTTAGCTGTATTTTGTAAAACCTTTCGGAATTTAGGGTCCTCAATGCTCTTCAACTTCGTACTTTATTTGACCTTTTTAACTTTTTTATTCGAGCCTTACTGATGAGTTTGTTGTAGAAGAAACGCGTGAAACGCGCGTCAGGCGTATAAAATTGTAATCCTGGTATTTGTTAGTTTATTTACAACATCTGGGTCGATACCACTAGTACTGCTGGTGGAGGGTTCCTCCCCGAGTGTATCACCAGCCTAGTAGTCAGCACTTCTGTGTTGACATGAATTATCATTGACATGGTCATGATTATACATTAACTGTTTACCAAACTTTTATTTTTTTTGTAAATACGAAGGATTTTCTACCCCAGGAATAGATTACCTTAGCTGTATTTGGTAAAACCTTTCGGAATTTTGGGTCCTCAATGCTCTTCAGCCCCGTACTTTATTTGGCCTTTTTAACTTTTATGATGCGAGCCTCACTGGTGAGTCTTTTGTAGACACAACGCGCATCTGGCGTATACAATTTTAATCCTGGTACATATGTATCTATGATTAGTTTATTTACTAGTCATGTTTTGAATTTTATTTGAATGGCATGTTTCAGTTACACGAAAATAACATACTGTATAAAGTTTTTTTTTATCATATACACACGGGTTATGTCAAAGAACGTCTCGTCCTTTTTCTAAAAAAAGTTCATCGGAAGATACCAAGACCTTGTTGATAAATATTCCATATCAACTTCACAAATAATACATGATAGTCTTGATGTATAGATTCTAGGTACTTGCGTTGTTCATCATTTTAATTACGTGTTATAGTGTTCTTTTATTTGTCTTTGTAAATTATTAACCTTTACTGTTTGGTCCATTTTTGGTAATATCCTTTTTGCGTGGCTCGGTACTTATACATCCTGCCATTGTGTTATTGTGCTATGGTCATTTTTTGTATTCTTGTATTTCATTTTTGCGTATGTGCTTTGTCTATATGCCATTTTGTTTTTCTTTGTTGACATATTTGTTTTATAGTGATTAGGATTGTAACACAATGTTGACTGCTGTACGCCTGTTTATGACATTTTTGCCTATTATTATAAAAATAAAGGAGATGAGGTATATCTGTTTGTTTTGTTCACACATTGTTGTCAATATAATGGAATTTTATGCGACTGTCATACAAGTGAGAGGTTTAGCTAGCTGTAAAACCAGGTTTAATCCCCCATTTTCTAAATAAGGGAATGCCTGTACCAAGTCAGGAATATGACAGTTGTTTTCCAATCGTTTGATGTGTTAGAGCTTTTGATTTTGCCAATTGTTAAGGGACTTTCCATTTTGAATTTTCCTTGGAATTCGGTATTTTTGTTGTTTTACTTTGTATGGTTCAAGTTTCTTGAATTTTTTGTAGGTCCAAGTATATATTTTGTCAAAATTTAATGAAAATTAAACAAGCCAAGTCTATATAAGTTAAAGTGTTGGTTACCCCCTTAATAACAGAAAATTCCGACAAGTTTTGCCATATACGACTAAAGCAATCTTCCCTTAGTGATTTAAATATTTCAACATTTCATAACAGTTAATTTACAGAAAATGAACATATCAATGATATTTGATGTTAGCAGATTATTGCTGATTACTGGGCTGGTGATATCATCGGGGACGAAACGTAAACCAGCACAGTGGTTGTAAAACTTATCAAAGATACTAGGCTTATAATTGGGAACGCCAAACGTGCGTTTCGTATACACAAGACCCATCAGAGGCGATCGAATTAAAAGAGTTGGAAAGCCAAATTATATACAAAATTGTAGAGCATTGACAGCAGAAAAATCCGAAAAAGTTGTGCCAAATACGGCTAAGGCAAACTCGCAACAACCACGCACCAACAGTGTAAATGTTTGATAATTAGAACTTGAAAAAAATGTCACAACAATATTCTTTAATAACACTATAAATCCTATATGTAAAACATGTATCGTGTAAATAATATCACATACTTTCTTATTACAACAATCAGGAAATATTTTTTTGTTTTGTTTTTATATTCAATTAACTAAAATCAATATACCCTGTATAATTTATACGTTTAAACCTTATTGATAGAAAACTTTTTATTAAGTATCAGGATAATTTTTCGTTCCTCAAAATATATACATTCCTAGCAGTTTTTTTTATAATTGTTTGCTTCTACAACTTTTCTTGCATACACGAGTGAATGTATCACTCGTTAAAAGAAGCATGACTTACTTCATCTTTGTCATGTAGTTTTGCAGATAACATAGCAGCCAAACCTTTCTTTGTTGCTAAAACTTCTCCATCCTCAGGAGGGTGATAAACCCTTAGGATCTGACCATTTGGTTTTATATGGAAAGAAAACCTTTAAATGTATAAATTTGAACATTAATTAACTACCCTTATTTACCACTAATTCAATCGATTATGAATCTAGACAATAAGTATGACGATGCTTAAATAACATGAACATTACTGTTACATTTTGTTATTGTGTGGCAAGCTTAAGAAGGTAAAAAAGTGCAATTTGTCAAATGAACACATCATCATTCCGAGGATCTTCTTACCGAGACGAGCGTTCAAAAATTGGTCAATCCACTGCTTTAATCGAATCACACAGAATATAGCAGCAGAATCACGTCTTTATGCACGGCATCCATTATTGCATATAATACCAATTGACGTTAACTTCTTCTCACCTTGTATAAATGTAAAATGTAAAAACCAAGGAGTTAAGCCATTGAACCAATGGTTCCAAGTGGCAAAATTTAAGTCATCCCTTTGAAAGTTTTACGGACACCATCACGAGTTGGTTGACCGTCATGGAATATCTGTGTCACAAATGTAACCACGGATATGTACAAATTGTCGTAATCACAATCCTGTCCTCTTTCTATCGATCGTGACATCATCGAATGAGACCTATGACCAAATTTCTACTTACCATTATCAAAATGCCGGTTGCCACTAGTGGAGGAGCACATGAGCTTACCCCATGCGCTCTCCGTTTTTTTTCGATTTCTGCCTTTTGAATATTTCTTGGTATCTTTCGCTTGATTTTTCATGGAATAGGGTTTGTTACCTTAATTATTATTATATGGAATTAGCTAAAATTTAGACAAAAAATAAAAGTATGATTTTGTTGGTTTTCAGCACTTAAAAGGGCAGGATATTGAAATTTGCTATTAGCAGCCAGTTTGGTCCACTTTTGGTAAATAAAAATGGCAAAACCAAAAGCCAAACAACAGTATAAAAAACACAACATAGAAAACTAAATAATGAGCAACACGAACCCCACCAGAAGCCGGGGTTATCTCAGGTGCTCCGGAAGGGTAAGCAGATCCTGCTCCACATGTGGCACCCGTCGTCGTAAATCGTGAATACATGACCAGTCTGCAAACTGATCGTGATAAAATATCAAAATGATTAAACATATAACTGTGAATAAGTGAATATTTAAGGAAGAAACATCTATTGAAGAAACAATATTATAATATTATGAATTGAGTTATATACCAATTAATATCATTTTTTGGGTGGGGGCTGCAGGAGGAATTTTCACGAATAGAATATTAATTTTATACCTATTTGTTTAGTTCGTGCGAAAATTTATTTCAGTTTTGTACACAACTGTTTCCTGCATCGTCCTTCATTTTGTAGGACAGAATATTCATTTTCATCCTGTTTTGGTAAGGTTATTTTTCCAGTAGTTGCCAGGCAAGAAGATTCAGTTTGAAAACCCTTCTTCTCCCCCGCCCCATGGAATATATAAAGGCCATTCCCTTACTTACCCCGATTTAGACTCAAAACAATCAACATACACATCATTCACTTGAAAATGTTTTGTGAGTGGACTCGCAAAGAAACTGGCTAGACATTAATAAATTTATGGCTACAGGACAATTTGCAGAAAAAAATTAATAGCATATGCGGGAAAACAACAACATTAGAGGACTTAAGTTAAAAATGCAGTAATCCTGCGTTGCCTAACTGATACAGAAGATTACAAAAAAATAGTTGAATTCTATGTATCCACTTTAAATACGTTTCTTCTACTGTTCTCGTGTGAACAGTTCTCACGTAAAGTTAATTAAAACTGGTGTACGGATGAGAATAAATTTTATGTCAAAGCAGTTTTCAATACGTGAAACTAATTGTAAACAGATTTTACGTACACGACGTTTGAAGTGAACACAGCCTTAGTCTCAGAGCAAAACCGTTAGCACTAACCGTCCAAGAAAAAGTCAAATAACAAAAATACCGAACTCCAAGGGAAATTCAAAACGGAAAGTCCTTTATAAAATGGCAAAATCAAAAGCTCAAACACATCAAACGAATGGAAAACAACTGTCATATTCCTGACTTGGCACATATTTAATATTGGAGAATTATAATGATTGGTCTATTGATAGTTTATTTTGCCCACGACTTGTTAAACAGGTGTTTGTAAAACGGAGTTCATTAACCAAGTTTTATATTATGTAAATTTACTCACTAGTTTTATAGCTGTCACATTTGTTAAATTTGTAACAATGATTTACCAGATTTGGAGTTTATTAATGCAGGAAACACGATTTTGGTACTTAATGAAGTATATGTCAATCAGATATACAAAATGGTAATTTTTAAAGACTTTTTACTTCCGAATGAAAAGATAGTAGCTGCTGGTGTAAGTATGTATATTGAGATAAAGAGATGTCAACTTTTAAATTTCCATTTCTATGTAGCAACGTTCTTGCAGCGCCTGTATATTGAGTTTATATCTCCCAACTGATACGATACTAGTATTCCAGAGCTTGCATTTCCAATCATGATTTCCTGGATAGAGGGTTGCTACTCACAAGGAAGCTAGTAAACCAAGAGTTCCCAGTGGTGAAGTTGAAATCATCCCTTTTTTTAAATTTAACGGACGCCATCACGAGTTGAATGGCCGTTATGAAATATCTGTTTCACAGATGACGACGGATATGTTCCAACTGTCGTAACCACCATCCCGTGTTTTTTCCTACCGAATAAGACTTATCACCGGGTTTATGGAGTTGCTTACCCTTCCGGAGCACCTGAGATCACACCCGGTTTTTGTTGGGGTTTGTGTTGCTCATTCTTTAGTTTTCTATGTTGTGTTTTGTATACTGTTGTATGTCTTTTTGTTTTTTCGTTGTCAGTTTATTTTCGACTTATGAGTTTGAATGTCCCTTTGTTATCTTTCGCTTCTCTTTTGCATGATAAGATGACAAAATAAATTAACCACAAAACAGGCATATGTATTTTAGTGGTAATGGGCGTTCTACAAGTGTTGAAAACATTTATAAATTTCACAGTTAAACTAAAGCTATGTTAATTTAGAAACATATAGATTTATGTCGCAATAGATAGTCTGGCGGATAGACATTTAAACAACAACTATCAAGAATTCAATTATAAGATTACCGGTCTAGATTTTTATTTCATTTTAAAGTACAATCAAAGCCATGTCAAAATATAGATACAGGTGGCACATTTCCTTCTGCATTATCACATAATCATGATGAAAGGGGTAAAGATCCTTAAGAACGTTTAAAACCAAGTTGCTTGAATTTATCTTCATCTCTTCATATGGTTTCATAGTACATAATTATTTTGTGTACAAAGTAACTGCATGAATAATGGATGACCACAATAAATAATAAGATTGCGTTGTACTCTGATCAAGGAATTAAGAACCATATATTTTATTCTATATTGAATTGATAGTAACTTGTCTTTTAAATTAACAATGATTTTTATATCAAGATGTATACAATTCATTGTGAATACTAATGACACACTTTTCTTTAATTTGGGACACACAATTTTATTCATAAACAGCCATTGGCACTTTTTGCTCTTAATATCTTAATTACAATACAACGAAATCGTACCTTCGTGTTCATTCATGCATAGTTATTTAGTACACGGAAAAAGTATGTACTATGAAACTTAGAAGGTAAATTAAAGCAATTTGATTGGACGAGGAGTTGTTAACATGTAGTTAAGTAGATATAAGAAGATGTGGTATGAGTGCCAATGAGACAACTCTCCATCCAAGTCAAAATTTTATAAAAGTAAACCATTATAGGTCACAGTACGGTCTTCAACACGGAGCCTTGGCTCACACCGAACAGTAAGCTATAAAGGGCCCCAAAAAATTACTAGTGTGAAACCATTCAAACGAGAAAACCAACGGTCTAATCTATATAAAAAACGAGAAACGAGAAACACTTATGAACCACATCAACAAACGACAACTACTGAAAATCAGATTCCTGACTTAGGACAGGTGCAAACAAATGCAGCGGGTTTAAACGTTTTAATGGTACCAAACCTTCACCCTTTTTCCTGAAACAATAGTGTAACATCACAACATAGAAAGACACACTATAAAATATCAACTGAAATAGCTTAACTCAATCAAAGGACATATTAAGACCAAGGTATGTTAATAAACAAGTTAATACCGAAGCACTGACTACTGAGCTGATGATAACCTCGAGGACTAGCAAATTTTTTTTTAAATGATTTTGCTTTGAGATTATCAAATACTATTAAGAATTTAATAAATCTAAACTAAAACATACTGATCGCATGCCAAGTTAAGCTGTAATTTGATAAAACAAAACGATTAAAATCAATTATCTATAAGCTATCAGTTCGTCATCAAAATGACAGTCACGTCTCTCAAATATTACATTATGGACTTCCTAGTTTTAACTTTCTGTACTAAGTCTTTTTATTGTTGTATTCATTGTCTATTTATTATGTATATCTTTTGAGATACTAAATAAATAAAAATAGCGTGAAATATGCCAACTTCCTGAATGAACCATTGATACAGCTACATGTTAAAATTTATATAAACTACCGCTTTACATACGTTTTCAATTTTATCAATTTCACTTAAACACTAGGACGTTTATGTACCTGTCAAATTAAATGCATGAACAAATGTTTTCAACCATAAAAATATAAAATTAATAAGCTTCATATGTATGCTTTACGATCGTCTTGATTAAAATGTGACTGGTGCAATTGCATACAGGTAGTATAACACAGCCTTAATTGTTATAACTTAATAAAGAAACAAATTAATTTAAGAAAACGAGATGAGAACAAAAATATCACAGCGTAATTGCAATAATATTGGTTAATATTGTTCTATGTAAGCCAAGCTTGGATTCGAAGTGAATTTGATTTTTAAAACTGGATACTATTTAACAATGTGCGTGCCATAACCCTTTTATTTTATGTCAAAACTTAGCAAATGACAAAAATACCATGATAACCTAGCTACGTCTCCAATTTAAATCTATATGATAGTGTGTGCAATATTTGTGAATATTGGAAGGC